GGCACGGGGCTGCCATCAGCTGTGCAAAGAAGCGATGCCTGAGTCTCCCACTCAACCCCGAGGTCGCATCCTTGGTGCCCCAGCTCCGCCAGCAGCACTGAGCAGCCAGGAAAGGGCTCAGCCATAAACACACAGCTACACCACTTCACATCACCAGATGCAGTGGTGCTTTTTTCTCTGCACTGTGCCCAACCGAAGGCAGTGAGGCTGAAGCATCCCACGTGCTGTGGGGGCAAGCTGGAGGTCAGTGAAAGAACTGGAGGAGCCCAACAGAATTTTTGTGGATAGCAAAACCCCGAGCTGCCAAAATGCACCTTCACCATCCATGCAGGATCTCCTTCCACGTGGGAGGAAATGACTGGTTTCACAGCTTGGACCACGACAAGTCTCCCAGCCCACCTCCAAACCCACGGTACAGCACGCGCCCCAGCACAGAACACACAGCACTGCAGCAGTGAGGGCTGCAGCCCCACTGAGAACCACAGCACGGCCGCCTGACCCCAATGCACTGCAGCCATACTGGAGCCATATTGCAGCCAGGCTCCCTGTGCCACCTTGGTGCCCCACATGCTGCCCTCAGCCCACTGAATGAATCCCAGATAAATTATGAAGTGCCATAAAAAGTATAACACATTTGAGAAAAGCTATTAAGTTATAAATACAACCAACACATCCAACATCACTCAGATGGCAGAAACTAACTACAAAATAAAGTCATTTCAAGCCACCATTCCACAGATTATCAAGTCTCTTCATTCACAAATCACACTTCCCTTCATGGCACCCCATCCCATTGCACGTCTTCACGCCCATGAAATGCACACACATCCCTGTGTGTGGGACAGGGGACTCCATCTCTGCACCAGGAACTCTTAAGAACAAAGTTACCCTGAAGTCCCCAATGCCAACTCACAAGCAGAGGCTCAGCAACAAGTTGCTGAGCATGAGCTGCATCCCCTTCTAAAAGCACAGAGCATCTGCAGGACGAGAGGTTCTCAGAGTGTATTTCATGTTGCTCCCTCTGAATTTAAGGCCCTCTCTGCGTATCAAGCTCTGCAGTGCAATTTCTTGCCTTTATTTACTCTCAAGGTCCTGCACGTTATGAATATTCATTGGAATAATTAAAAGCGCTGTTCACAGCCCATTGTGTTTACTGTTAGCCCCATAAAAAACAAACAGGTTAATGACGATCTTTAATACGGGAATTTAATATCTCTCCACCTATATATCGGCTAAAAGTTTAGCCTCCCCTTTAAGCTTCATCAATTTACGGAGAATAAGTAACCTCCATAAAAGCAGGCTGCGGCTGTAAGTCACACGTACACGCCTCTGCGGGTCTGTCGTTATAGTTGTGCTTCACTATTTATTTTATTTTTGCTGAATTTCTCATTTCAGTTTTGGCCACAGCAGTAGAGGGAGAAAGGCGGGCTGTGATTTGGGAGCAGCGCTGCTTCACTGCTGGGCACCGCCGTGATGGGCGGCCCTGGGCTGCGCAGAGCTGAAAAGTGAAGTACAAAGGGAGAGGGCAGCAAACACCACTGCTGGCTCATCTGCAGCCCCCAGTGCTCAGTTGGCACTGCTGTGGATGGAGCCTTCCACTGGGCCTCAAGCATCGCAGAAACGCTGCTCTTAGAATCACCTGAAGTTTTATTGAATGCAATGAAGCTCTTTTCAGATGAGAATTGGCCCTGGGACGGATGACCACTCAATGAGGTATGGCTCAGCCGTGTGAACTGATGAACTCACAAATATCTGGCAGGGAAATGCAGGGTGGGGGAGCACGGTGCCTTTCTGCTGGGGTGGGAAACAGGACAAGCCATGGAGAAAATGTCCCACTGAACAGCAGCATCACCACAGCTCTCACCTCCTCCTGCAGCACAGCTTTACCTCTTTCCACAGCCCAAGCAAAGCTGCACCATTTCCTGAATTGTGCAGAGGAGACGGAAACTAGAAGTGGACCAGGAGAGAGCCTGACACCAGGGAAACTGCCAGAGGAAACCACAGGTGTCCCCTCCTGCAGGGCTGTACAGAGGCATCCTCTTAAATGAACCGTTATCATCATTTACTGATAAGCACTCAAAAACAAAATCACAAAAGGGACAGATCCCATTCCTTCAATACAATAGCAATCATCCCATCCATTCAGAAAGCATGGAGTTGGAAATCAAACAGATGAAGGAGTTAATGTGCATTTCTGATGTGTATGACCTGCTGCTCTCCCTACCTGCAGCGCACACAGGGAGCTGGGGGAACCAAGGAGCTCTGCTACGTTTATAACCAGGAGCACCTGAATACCTCCTTTGAAGCTATTCCTGACAAATTAAGGGGCTTTTCACTTAGAAACCATCAGTTTCTTTATGATTTTATTTAATTCTGCAACACGCCCTGACACATAGGAAAGAAGAAGAAAACAATGCTGGGCACCAAACCTGCACAGGCTGCAGGAGCAGCACAGTGCCGGCCTCTGAGCATCCTCCAGAGCATCCCTTGGAGCATCTCTCCACTGCAGAGCCTGGAAATAAAGTTGGTGCTTTCCCTCCAACCTGAGCGCGCTCCACAGCGATGTCAGATTTGCATTTCTGTTCTTTTTAGGATGAGTTTTCCCATATGTCAGCCTCAACCATTGCAAAGCATTGCAAATCACTGAGATTTGCTCAGAGCGCACCCTGCAGAAGTCACACGTGTGAAAAGCAGAGCAATCTGGAGGGCTATTTACTGCTAATCCAGCCTTCTGTATGACGAATAACAACATACCTAGACACACCTGTTGCAGCACAAATAAACTACTTCTAAAAGAAGTTGAGATAAAATAAAGACTTTTTAACTTCCCAACTTTGTCTGCAATCATGGGAAACAATCTATTTCAGTAGCTGCAATTCCTTTCTTCGTAAGCACCAACCAGACCACGAGGAGGGGGAGGAAAATGAGTCCCTCCACTCACATGCAAAGCATCTGTAGTCATTTTTCTCACGCTGCACTGAGGAAACAGCACCCAAACACCCTTTTTTGGCCAACAGTGCAAATGAAATGCAATGAGAATTGGACTGGGTGCACTTCCAGAGCAACACAGGTGCAGCTTTAGGGATGCGCAGCAGCAGCAATATGCATTCCCAGTTCCCAAAACCAGGGGGGAGCACCATCATTTCCCAGCACACCGCCCATCTAATCTTGCTGCTGACAGACACAACCAGTTGGGTTTTTCCCCATTGTGGGGCTTGTTGTGGCTCAGCCCACGGGTGCTGTGCCCAGGCACAGAGCTCCACCTCGCGCTGCAGGGAGTGGGCAGGAGAAAAAAAGAGGGGGGGAAAAAAAAAAATTAAAACATATTAAAGGTGTTAATAAGCGACTTATTTAAACGGAGTATCACATATTGAACATTAATCACCTTGCAGTAAAAGTGTAATTAAGGAGTCACTCTGCCTTCTGGGGAAGGCTCGCTTGGAAGCCGAGTGAAAATGGTCTCTTTATTAACACAAATTATTTTATTTGGCCAAAGGTAATAATTCTAAGTGAGGTCAACGGGACTTGTGCACACGCGAGCAGCACCAGGGCCAGCCACTGTTTCCATGGTGACCGAGCCAAGTTCACCCCCAGCACAGCGATGGCTGGGCTGAGCGCATCGCCCACCGGGCGCCCAGACCTCCTGCAGCCACAACACTGTCCTGGGGATGCACTATGTGAGCATCATGGCACTGCTTTCCTGGCACACTGACACCACAAGGATGCGTGGTTCCCACTCTGAGCAGCACAGGGACACAGGCAGCCCGTGCCATAAAACTCAGCTCCAACAACAGCAGCACCCAGGAGCCACTCTTGGCTCCCAAGCACCTTCCTGCGCTGGGACAAGCCATGCGTTGAGCTCTCCGTGCAGATGATTGTCTGAAAGCAGCAATGATTTATCAGTCTCTCACGTCATGTCACTCCTTTATGTACAGCATTATACGTAGAGTGCCGCATTAACATTTTACTATTATTCTTCCCTTTCAAAGCAAAAAGATAAGCGTGTAAATCTCGGCGGTGTCAGCAGGGCTGGCACGTGCCACGTGGCTCAGCGGGCACACCTAGGGACACCTCTGTCCCCAGAGCCACCTGGAACCAGTGTAAAGCCTCATGGGACACTTCTATGGAGGTGCTTACCACCCTCACAAACCCTGCAACACTGCCCACAGGATGCCAAAGCAACATGGAAGCCACGCTGATGGATGCAACCCAGGTATACTCAGCAGCAACCTCAAAACAAGATGGGGTGGGGACCCCAACCACACCACCCCATCACTCAGAACCCATTCGTGCCCTGACACAATGTGTCCCACGTGAGTCCGTGTGCTCCCCAGCCATAAACCAGCTCCTGCCACCAAACCGCCGCGCGAGGTACCCGGTCCTGTGCAACTTATTATCACCTAGTCAAGATTAATCAAGCAGGGAAAGCTAAAGCAGGTCCCTAATTAGTTGCTGATGATAACTATATTTGTCATCCTCTCCCAATTAGTCTACTGTACATTTTGGAGTTTAATTGCACCTTGTTCTTCATTTAAATGTCATCATGTGCATATATTCTCCTCGTTCTTTAGTAGATTTGAGAAAAATTTGACATTAAATATAGATTATCTTTAGATTTCCATAATTAACACAACCAAACTGTCTTCAGCTCATGTATTCCACCTCACACGATACATCTGGATGCTCCCTTGGAATTCAGTGTTCCTGGGGCTCCTGCTGGAGGTGGACATCACCACTGCACCAGTGACACTGGGGCCACGGATGGGTGGTGGTGACATGGCCTCAGGGTCTCCTCCCTGACTGCACCAGGGTGACCCAGAGCCGAGGGGAGACACAAAGCCAAGCAGTAACAAAAAGCAGAAGGGTGACGCATGCCACTACCTAGCCACATGCTGTCCTGCCCTGTCCCCCACCCCAGCCCATCCAGCAGCACACAGAGAAGAACCCAGAGCAATGAGAAGAAAGGGAAGAAGCCATCAGGAAAAGCTGCACGGTCCTACCTGTCCCTTAAGATGAGGTGCATCACACCAATCGTCCCTACTGCTTGGCCACAGCAAAATCCCCGTGTCCATCCACGTATTCCCTACTGCGCCAGGTCTCGCTGTGCACACTGCAGGCTGCAGCTCCTGGTGCCACGGGAGGAGGCTGCTGCTGACTGAGCAGCTGGGGTAGGAGAGGGGAAGGGAAAAATGGGGAGGAAAAAAAAAAAAAAAAGGAATCAAGGAGTAGTCAAAAAGTGTATTAGAAGCAAATTTGGAGAGAAATCAATGGCTTGTAATTAGATTTGATTTTTCTTCACGTTTTGTTTGGCTGGGGGTTATGTATAGACTCTATGTGAGCAGAGAGGAGAGATTAAAGCGCAGAGAACAGGTGCCGGATCACGAGCTGGTGGCCACCAAAGCATGACAGCTCCATCACCGCTGTCAGGTGGCACAGCAAATAAACATATAAATAAATAATAGGGACAGAGATGCAGCAGACCGGCATTTGCTCACACCACCATGCAGCAACACCCAGCCCCACTCACGGGACTGGCATTTGAATTTCCCACATCGCTATGGCAGGGGATGCTCCTGTACCCCTCAATGTTTCCATCTTGCTGCGGATGCTGGGGCAAACCTGGTATGGGCACGTGCTCCTGGCAAAAGAGAGGAACCTACTTGTGCCAAGTCATCCTGATCGTATCGATAGCTGCCCCTAGGAACTCACTGCTGTGTTTGAGGTCTTCTTTCTCCTCTTCTAAATGAGAGAGCTTTGCATATGTGCATACATACACACATACACAGGCACACGTGCACTCCATACGTGTATAAACACATACAGGGATGACCTATGGGGTGTCCCCCATGCTGGTGATGGCGCTGCCATCAGAGCTCCTCACTCTTATGGTCCATTTCTTTTTTCACAACGTTTCCCTTTAACCTTGAAACTTAACCTAAAAGTCGGGCCGCTGTCCACATGACTTCCCAAAATAAATGGCATCCCTAATTAGCAGCACCCTGCGCCGCTCCGCGCTCCAGGCCACGCTGCATCACTGGACACCTCCGCCTGATGAGCAGTTATCGAACATGCGAGCAGCAATCAACACTAATTAAACACTTGGCTGTTGAGAGGAGACAATGTTTATCAAAAAAAAAAAAAAAAAAGAAAAAAATCAAGAGGAGGGGAGCACGTCTTCTGTTTTCTATAATTAGTGAGCAATATTCCCCAGGCGGTTGCAGCAATCGAACGCGGGTTCGCTCGCAGCTGCTGGGTGCACACACACAAAGGATGCTGGGGGCACACGGTCAGGGCAGGGGGAGCACCCATGGGTGGAAGCTCAGCAATGCTTCCCAGAATGGGGTCCTGCCCTTCTCATCCCCCTGGGCTGCATGAGACCAGAGCAGAAATGCCCCCAAAAGGGGAAAAGGAGGGGGTCAGCTCACCCTGAATGCTGAGGCAAGGAAGGGCTCCAGTTATAGAGACAGTACACGAGTGAAAGAAAAGAACAAAAAACAACCTCCAGCATGTGCTATGCTCTGATATTCCACAGAATCACTGATGTTGGACAAGACTATTAAGATCACCTTAGTTAACCCATCATGCCCTCGTAGAACCATGTCATAATTTAGAATGGAAAAGACCTCCAAGACCCCTAAGCCCAAGTCCATCCCACCCCACCTTGCCCACCAACCACATCCCCTCAGTGCCACATCTCCACAGTTCTGGAACACCTCCAGGGATGATGACTCCACCGCTTCCCTGTTCCAATGTCTCACCACTCTTTCAAAGAAGAAATTTTTCCTAAATAATGTGTGGGAGCAAACTGGAAGTGGTATCAGAGAGATCTTTGATTATCATGCAGGTGCTAAATAATGGCAGGAAAAGTGTGTGCCAGGGCAGGGGAGGAGCAGTACCTTCCAACTCCAGGCTCATGGCGACTGTGGCACAGCTTTGCTTAAGTGGCTGCACTCTGCCCTTACACTCCGCTGTCATCTATCCCAGATACCTCTGATATTTCTGGTGGTAAACACTCGTTTCTTAGAGCAGCAGCAGATGGTCAAGAGCATTTCCTGAAATTGAATATTATAATGAATTTAGGATCGAAAAAAAATTTACATAATAATCTGTTTTAGATTCTGATAGTGAATAAACCTACACAGGAACTGCTTCTTTTCAGCTATTTGAATTAAAGTATAAATCTTCAAGTACTTTAATTATGAACAAACTCCTCGCACTTGCACACCCATGGAAGAAATTGAACAATTAACCACCCGGTGAAGCTCAAGGCCACACATGGGCTCTTAATGGGATGGGACAGGTCTGTGCCCTGAGAACCAGCCGTGCCCAAGTTCTGCTGATGGGCATCCCTGCAAGCAGGGCAGCGCCCCAGAGGGCAGCAAACTCGGCTGTAATGTGCAGATCCCTTAAAAAACCATCAAATTTCCTTAATAATAACAAAAGGGAGCAATGTCCCTGTTTGGCCACAGGACCTGGGAGCGCTTTGCATCGCAGCCCAGCACTGCCGAGGGCTTTCCCTCTTGGAAAAGCAAATATTTAGACTAGATAAAAAAAACCCCGAGAGCATTTTCCCCAGGTAATACTAGTAACTAAAATAATCACATTCACTTTGCTGGTTTAATTTTATATTTCCATTTCTACCTTATCTTTTTCCTGCAAGCATCATTAAACCACACCATAACAAAAATACATGAAGTGTTATTCTTTCAAGAGAAGCCATAAACCACCTCAAAGCTTTTCAAGTTTATTCTTATCTCGTACATCTTCCTCTGGTTCTTTTTTTTTTTTTCTTCTTCTCCTTCATGCATTTCAGCAAGGTAGTTTTCCCTAACGTTAAAAATAGTTGCATTGAAAATGAGATGCTGCCTCTGAAAAACACCTCTGGAGGATTAAATAAGTAAAATATAGCCAGAAAATAAACTGGAACCTCATTAAAATAATTTTGCAAGAAGAAATCCTACCTCACAATAGGTTTTCAATATCACTTAGAAAATTCTTAAGAGTCATACATATATATACGTTCTTAATTCAGGACCTTCCATTAAAAAAGGCATTACAGAGGGAACTGAAAGGCCATTTAGCACCCTTGTTTATAGAAAAATGCGCATTAGGTACAGATGTAATCTCCAGCAAAAGCCTTGAGATATGGCTTGAACAAGCTGTGCCGCGCTGCTAGGTGCTAATGAGGGCACAGGCAGAAGCAGGGCCCCTTTCTTTTGCTGCAGAACACAAAGCTGTGTCCCTTCAGCCATGCCCACGACCAACCCAGGTGGCTCTGGACCCTCTGTGCCACCAACACACAGAAACACTAAAAGCAGCTGCTGGAACCCAACACAACAGCCTTGCAGTGGGACCTGCACAGCATGGAGTGTGGCACTGCTAGGATTTGCAGTAGCAGATCTCCACAGAAAACAGCTGAGCTCAGACTTGTGGAGAAACACTGCTGATGTTGCAGCTTCTAAAACTGCAGGGGAAAAAAAAAAAAAAAAAAGAAAAAAAATTGGCAGGTTTAAGTTTGCATTGAGCTATAGCACGTTGTTACACTTCTGAAGTGTATAAAACTATTGATCATAGGCAAGTCATTACCTCTGCGTGCAGCCAGAGCTGTGCAGTGAGCACAGGGGCTGTCCTGAGCCCACCCTGCATTGTGCACAGCCAGGGCAGAACCTGCCCAGGCACAGGCATGGGAAGGTCCTGAACTGGAACTGTATTCAAATCACAATCTGTAATCAAAAATCACAAAGAAACAAACATGCCTGAACACCCTCTGGAGCAAGATGCTGAAATGCTTCCCTTCAATCAGGGACATTTCTTGAGAATGGGATTCCCTTTAGGCTACCTCCAAAACCTTCATCATTTTGAGCTGGACCTCAAGATAACATTAATAACAATGAGGCCAAAGCCCAACCAAGCTTAAAGCCTTTCCCTCAAAGCAAAACAACCCCCCCACCTCCCAGCCAAAACCCCCAGCTCCTTCCCACCCCCAGGTGTCAGGGAACACAGGTGCACAGCCCCAGACACATGCATTTCCACGCAGCAGCCTTGCAAAATGCAGCCATAGTCAACCAGGCCTGATGTTACACAACATTTGGGTCACAAATTTTATAGAGAATAAATATCACACTTCAATTTCATGGTGACTTAGGAGGGTTGACTGGCAAATACCATGGCTTTTACATGGTTCTACCAATTACCGAGCAATTACACGTAACCTAGATCTGGAGGACATACAGTGGAATATAATACATTCCTCTCTGTGTTAAAAAGAAAGAGGCAGTTAATAGAAAACAGTGTTGTTTTTTTTTTAATAAAACCCTCCTATTAGAATCCACAATATTCCTGGGTGATGTTATTAAAACTCCACGTCAACATCAAACCCAAAGGAAAGACTGCCATCCATTAACACATCAGTCGTGGGACGATCAATAAAAATTTACTTTAAACTGTGCCATATGTCGCTTCCAAGAAAGTTTTATTATTCAGATTCACCAGTTTGTACCTCAGCCCCCATGCAATTAAATCCCACTTAGTGGCACCGACCTTCTGAGTTGAACTTGTCATTCCTACAGCTGGTTTGGAGTTTAACACCACTCTTAAATAACGAAAACAAAACGTCTGCATTGATGGGGAGCACGGGGAGCTGGGAAACCCCATCAAAACAGGGAGAGGGGGAAAAAAAAAACAAAAAGGAACGCAGGCACATTTTAACATGTTGTAGCATATTTGTAAACATCGTTAATCATGGATTAGCAGATGGTAATGCTAATTGCACCTGTGGAAGTAACAAGACCTCAAGGTTGATTACATTTACAAACTCCGCTCCTCGCTGGAGGATTCCCTGCTGTGCCTGGAGGACCCACGTGCTGCAGGACGACCCTCTGTGCCTCCATGGAACCACTCAGACCAACGGGACCGTGTGCCCATTGGGAGCCTTGGGCTCTCTGACCTGATTTGGGGGAGATGAAGAGATTTGTGCTCCCCTGATAGAAAGGCAGAGGTGGGGAGCGTGGCTCCTGAGCTGCAAGGACAAATATTTTGCCACCGTGCCTGGAGACATTTTGATTATTGAGAAATCATTTTGGAAGGGCAATTACTAAATTTTGAAATCAATTTGGTAAATATGCTTCCAAAAGGAATCCATGACAAGCAGCAGGGAGGGAAGAACTGACTTTCAAATTACACACACACACGCTTTATTCATATCTAAATATCAAAGAGACTCTATGTACAAACAGAAGTAATCAGGAAGCATGTTTTGATCTTGCTGATGTACACAAAAAATGACAATTAATGTCCTCCTTTATGATATAAAGCCGTGAGTTTTTTTACAGTTACATTACAGGGACGATTATAGTTGAGCTTAAGGCTAAAAATAATGAAAGACTATAAAAACTACATTTTAACATTTAAAAATATCCAGGAAATTAACTGCAGAAGCAGGCAATGATCCAATTAATGGATTGCATTTATTAAATCGGGGGCAAACCGCACAGCACTCTAAGCTCCAGCTCCAAAGGTGCAGCTCTGCTTGGCACTGTGACCATTCCCAGCACTTTCCCTGGGTGTGCCAACAGAGCTGGCAGGCAAACTTTTGTTAGCACTAAGCATAAAGCACCGCTGCCTCTTCCACTCAAACCCTGCAAGCCCTGCCTGACACTCCAGCACCAAATTTAGACCTGAAGAGGTGTACAGCAGCATTGTCCCACTGGCATCAAAGCTTTCTGGGAGCTTTGCAGAAGAGGTTCCTGCTGCATTGCTACTCACCTGCCTGTCTGCTGGGGATGAGCTGTGATGGCTGAGCGTGGTCGGAGGGCACGTGGCTTTCCCAGGCACAAGCAAACTTAATGAAGGGTCTCCTCATGTTTAAGTACTGCACAAGGAAATACATTATTTGTTTTTTAATGGAGAAACTGCAGTTTATATGGAATTAGAAAACTCTCTACGTATAAATATTTTATATATATATATATATGTAAATACAAACATTTACACACACGCTTAACTATAGATCAAGAAAGCAATGGCTTTATCCTCATCCCTGCTGCTGGAGAGGACTCTGCCAGCCCCAAGTGCTGCGTCTGGCTTGCGAGAAATAAGCAAATCTGGAGCACGGGCTCCCTCTGCTGGGGCTGACACGGCTGCAGAGTCAAACATCGTGGTGACAGCGTGCCAGCATCCTCCCCAGCCCTTTCCCTTTTTGTTTCAGCAATTAAAAACCAGGCACATTCAGCCCCAGAAACCTAAGTGCTCCACACCTGCCCGATCCCTGTAGTTCACCAGACTTCAGCTGATACGCAGTGAACACCTTCAGACTCAGGCACCACAGCTCTGCTCGCATTGCAGCAGGCATTTGGGGAGGATTTGGTTTTGCCTTTTTGCAGAGGAGACACCTCAGGATGCACTCTGTCACAACAGGCACCCGCAGATCCAGAACGGAGTACTCAACACCACTGAAAAGTCAAATCTCAGTGCAGAGCAGTACAGGATCCCACCTAGATGCCAGTAAGGCTTGGCTTACCCTTACCCATCCACACGGGGCTCCTGCAGACACAGCCCCAGCCCCTCTGTCCCACTGCACTGAGGGCTCAGAGCAGTGCAGGGATTTAAGGCTGCCCACAGGCAACCGGCACCATGAAACCCACCACTGGGTCACTGCATCCCAGGCTGGGCTGTGCTCCGTGCTCACGTCAGCCAGGTGAGTCCTCACTGCCAACACAGGTGCAGGGCAGTGTGTCCTGTCCCACCCCACATCCTGTCCCTCCCTCATCCCACCACAGCCACTGCCCTCACAGCAAGGCCGCCAGCCTCTTGCAGGGACACATCTGAAAAACCTCCACATCCACAGACCAGTTTACAGACTTCATTTAGCTCAAAGGAAAGTCCTAATTAGTCACTCTGAGTGATTTACTTGTTCACTTGGAAGGGGGAGAGGAGGGAGACTAAGCTGAATTGTTTGAAATTATCCCTAAAGGGCACTGTAAATTAAGTGTTAATGAGGAATCCTATGCAAAGGGCCACAGTAGCTAAATAAAATAATTAAGGTGCTAAGCGATAACATTCATTCGGTTCTCAATAATTCAGCCAGGCTGGTTTTCAACCAGGATATTTGCAAATGAAGCCACTGTCACCACTGCCCCTGAATCCACACACCATCAGTGGGGACAGCGGTGCTGGGCAGCTCAGCATCCAGCTGGATTAGACCCATCACAAGAAGGAAACTTCCTTGAATGAAGAGAACAAGCTCCTGGCTCCCCTTCCCACCTGAAGGAAGTGCCTCGTTCCACTAATCACACTCTGCATTTATATATGACACAAAAAGGATTGAGTCAAGTCTACAACAAATCTTTACAGAGGCTTTATTTTAATGGGCTGCATTTTCCCCCACTACAGCTGTTTCTAACAGGTCATGTTCATCCTTTGGCACGGCTGCAGACTTGTGTTACAATCAAATACAACACGGTGTGTTTTCAGACATTCAAGCAGCAAGGTGTAACAGACAGACCGCCTTATCACGAATAAATGGCTACTGAGCAGTCCCAAATCAGACCAGCTTCTCGCCAGCACCCCAGGCACAGGGCATAGCTGTTCTCTGAGTCAGCTCCAACCATGAACCACCATTCATCTACAGCCCCAAACCCACAGCCTGAGCAATGTAAGAAGTTCCCCATGCAACAAACACAAGGCTTGCAGCCACCACTGGCTATTTTACTGCTAAAACTAAAGGATTTGGTTGTCTACTTTTAAAGCTTAGCTTTGTCTTCCTTCCTTACAATCTCTCCTCTGAGGTGCTGGTGGAACATGATACCTACTGCACACAGGCATGACTTCAGTGCTGGGCCAGGGCTCTGCTGGTGTGGTGCATGAGCCAGAACACAACCTGGGTCAATGGGGCTCACCCTGAAACTTGCTGAGATAGTGCCGAGCCTGGAAGGCGCACTTCCATATCCATGCTGAACACAGCCATGGAACACTGAGCAGTTTCTTGCCATCAAAGATCCTGGCTGGGCAACTTCCACCATGTGCCAGGATAAAAATCAATCACCGTGCCTCAGCTTTTGGCTGCAGATGGAGTGCAGGAGAATGCCTGTAGAGAAGTAAACAAAAAGACAACAATCTTTTATTTAACTCTATATGAAAATCTGAGAGTCTGGATGCTTGACTGATTTTTAAATTCAGTCCAATGCCATTGCACAGGGTCTGTTTTTACCAGTGGCTACGGAGACGTTCAGCGACTCAATGCCTGGGTGCAGTGCCCTGCCAGAGGGGATGACCAGCATCTGGTGGCACAGGAGCTGTGTCTCCAGGGAAAGGCCATCGCCTTCGCTACCTGCAGAACAAAGACAATGCTCAGGTCAGCTTGCAGCCATGCTCCTCTTTCCTTCATCAGTATAGGTCGTCTGTTAAGTAACTTCCCAACTCCCATTAACAACAACCACAGACAGATGGACACCTGTCCAACCTTCCCTTTCTGACCCCTTCCACTGCCCCTGGATCTGTTCTCAGCACCAGCAGGGTTTTTGAGGAATACCTGTGCATCACACCTGTACTCCAGCATTAAGCTCAGAGCCTTGCAGCACAAGTATGAGGATCACACATGCAAGCATCCACTGTGGAGCTGCCCACAGACATGGGCTGCTGCCAGGGGATGAAGCAGACAAGGCCACTGGCCTCCTCTACCACAGCAAATCTGAGTCCCTATCGATAGTGACAGGTTCAGCCCTTTCAGCAGAGAGTACGACCAGCTGAGTGCAACTTGTGAATGCAGACAGTTTAACCAGAGGCTTCAATTGATTAGTTGTTAAACCATCCAACAGCCCTGATATGTTTGGGCTGATACACTGGTGAAACAGAGTTGAAATCTATCCCAGGTCATTAGTAGTTGTTTGACTCACACTGTCACAAAGGGAAATGGAAAGGGAGAGGCTTTAAACAATCCTATGTGCAGACAAGTGAAAATGCAGAAGACCGCAGACCTCCTAGCCTGTTCAGCTCCCCAAAGACTTCTTCCATATTCATTATTTAGAGCTACACAGACAGCTACGTGGCTGCAGGAATACCTGGCTCATTTCAAGATATGCTTGCCCCCTAACAAAGTAGGCTCAGCATGACGGAAGCCAAATGTTCCCCTTCAACTGTTGTGCTGTGGTCCAGACTCCTCCCACAGCAGCACCATGGGGGCACACACTGCCTGATAGGGGCTGCTGTACCTCTGCTCCATGGGATTCTCCAACTTGAACTGCACCTATCACCAGAGGTGCCACAGCTCCTGGAGCTCTCCTCTCCTCTCCCTGATAAAGGTCTTACGATTCCTAATAAAGGCAGCAATTTGGCTTCCAGCTTTTACAAAGCTTTTTATGGCCCAGGCTGCTTAAAATAATTAGGACCCATAAATTCAGGGCAAAAAGACTTGCACAGAGTCTGACACGTGGGAGGGAGTATTTACTAAATCAGATAAAATCCTAGTCTGCACTGGTGAATAAAAAGCACATCCTTGACTTCAGTATCAGTTTTGTCTCCCATTGACAGTGCACCTGACATAGTCCCTCTTAATTATTTGGTAATGCATCTAAGTGCTCCCAACCCATTCCTATTCACACAAGGCTTCCAGTCTTAAGGCCAGTCAGCACACCTGTCACCTCTGGCAATGAGTCCAGAGCAAACAACATCAACTTGGACTGTCCAAATCACTCTGCTAAGCCAGCACAGATACCAGAGGTGCGAATTCAAGTGTGCAAACACTTAACTTACAAGACAACCTGTGCAATGCCAGGAAGCTCACTACCATGCTAATATATCTTTGCTGCTGTTTGTGGCTAGAGGTGTGCTACATATTCAGATCCAGGATGTTTCTTCAAACAACCCCAGCATCAGACAACTGTAAAGTTCAATTTTCTTTTCAGCAAAGAGTGAGTGCTCAGCAGAGAGCTGAGATCATTACTGGTGCAAGGTCTGGGAGCTCTCCTTACGTATCTACCAATCAGTCTCCAATCTCCCTTGTCAAAAGGATACTTGGAGCTTTTCCTGGAGAAATCTCTCATAATTCAAGGTAATGACACCATTGCCACTTTCACCACCTTCTTTTCTCTTGGTGTTGTCAACGTTTCTGGGATGCATTTCTTTGTGGTCTATCAGCATTGCTGCCAGTCTCCCTACTCCCTTTATAATATAGGTTCACACATCTTGTAGAGATGCCAGATTTGCTGCACTGTCTTGTCAGTATTTCTAGCAGTTCAATAAACATTTTAATTAAAAGAATGTCTTCTGAGCCAAGAAAACCACAGCACAGGGCAGGATTACAGCCCCTTGATGGCTCATCACCAACCTGACACCACTTTCAAGTGTAAAAGCTCAAGCCAGCTCTTATGCCAGGTGACAGACACAAAGTGGGGGCCAAGGAGATGCCACACACAGGTGCCTAGAGCAGCATTCTTCCTCTAGCTGCCACAAGGCCATTACTCCCCTTCTTTTCTCCTTCTGTCAGCCTACACAGCTCCAAACTCTCCCTACAAAGGACAGCACCCTTTCCAAATCTCCTCCACACAAAGGAGGAGAAGCAGAAGGCCCTGGAATAATCACAGCTTAGCTGCTCACACAGCACACTGCGAGAAAGTTCCTGGCCTTCCCCTTTCTTCTGAGACCATATATTCCATTTTCAGGCAGACCATTCTAGTACTTCTTGCTCAGCTTCTCTTTTCCAGACCAAAGTGTAATGGAACATAACAGATCTGCAACTAGCTTAGGGGATGGAATGCCACCCTGGTCATTCACTCGCATAAGAACTTGCCCTGAGACCAAAGCTCTGTAAATTGAAATACCTATTACTAAAATAATGGGTTTATTCCACCGAAATTCCAAGCAGCTGATGACAGGAACATTTTCCACAGTTTCAGACTGGCTCACTGTTCCCACAATTTCCCAGCCTTCTGCAGCTTTAGCCTGAGAACAGGAGAAGAAACAAATGTTAAGAACAATACTAAGTTTCCAAGCTTAAAAAGAAAATAAAACATATACATAACCATATTTTTTTTCCTAGATTTTCAGTTAAGCTGACTGGCTTTCTGACATCCCTTGAATTTTCACCACCAAAGCCCTACCAGAACCAGGACACAAACCTCGAATGAGAAAAAGGAAAACAAAAGGTAATTTTCCTTCTGGTGTTTCTTCCAGTTCAGCAAGCAAACAAAAAGCAACTGAAATTACTTTTTTTTTTTTTTTTTTGCCAATGTAACAGTTCTAGGGAGGTTTGTTTTTTGTTTTGTTTTGTTTTGCCTGAAAAGCATAAAGGAGGAGTTGTTGTGTCAAACAAATCAGCTTAAGGTTAATGAACAGAGCAATGCAATGCAAGTTTTGAAGCACAAGCTCAGCCACCAGAAGCTCCCAGAAACATTTTCAAATACAGATACACATTCTCAAACTCAGATGCCAAAAATCAGTTCATAACAAAGCAGGGCACTCAACACTCAGCACCTCACGTAACCAGAGAAACAGCCTTCCTCCCCCTGCCCTAACATAAAGTACTTTAATTATTTGTCTTAGAAGCCTATTTTAACAATAAAAGAGCTGCTGCTTCTTGCCAGCTTCATTTCCTGTGAAACTGACACTTTTTACATTGTTACATCAAATTCACACCAGACAATGCCAATGGTTAGGCCAGAGAATCTGGGTCCAATAAAATGAACGGCTACAATGGCTCAAAACATTAATAATTCAAACTTTACAGTAACAAAGTGATTCTTCCAGCTGTTTCAACATCAATGTACTTTATATGCCTTTCATTTCTCCATCATTCAGAGCTCCAGCTGCCACAGACCCGCTGTACAGCTGAACACTGGCTTTCTGGCAATGTGGAAGGAGTCCATGCTTACTCCAGCTCATGGTCACAGCACAATCTGATGAGCTCCTCCTCAAAGAGGCAGAAGCAGAGCTACCCGTGGAGCACAGACTGGGTGCAGCTCACACACAGCCCTGGTTTCTCACCACTCCCTTGCACTAAAAGCTGCCCAATGCTGCCATCATGTGCCAGGCTCGAGGACATCACCTCCACGCACATCAGGGAAGACCCACAGCAGGCAATCGCACCAACTCCGGTCCCCATGGATGGGTGGGGGGACAGATCCCATCCTATGGGTAGATCCATCCTACCAGGCCAGCACATTTTTCTTGAAAGGCCCTGCAACACACAGCTGCTGCTCCACCAGACTGGGGGTGCACATCTGTGAGAGAGATCCTATGGCACACACCGCAAGCAGCAAACAGGAATGCAGAGCAGGAGTCTGAACACTGCAAATAACAGAGTTCCTCTATTTGTACCTTCTCTGCTCAATATATGTACTATTTGAAGTTTCCCATACGTTGTAAAACAATACAGAGAAATGTGCATCATTCTACCTTCAAAAAGCTCCGGAGATCATCTGTGCTGTAGACATCAAAGACTTCCATAGCTCCAGAACTTGCTTTGCTCACTGTTGGAGTCAAGGGGCAGCTGCAAGAGAAAAAGAAAAGTTTCATATAAGAACAGAAAGGGAAAACTAGGAGGATTTCTGCTTCTGTATTTTCTGCTCGTGCATCTACAACCCAACTTCATCTACTCTGCAAAAAATCTTGTTCCCTCAATGGATGCACCTTCCTATGGGGAACAGGAAGGCTCAGAAACAAACCCAGGAGACAGGCTGCGGCACTTTATGTGCAGCTGAACAATTGAAACGTGAAATGGGTTTAAAATAAATAAATAAATAAAAGGGCACCCAAGGAGGTTCCCTGCCAGCCTGGAACGCTGCATCCCACAGCCTCGGTTGCCCAGCTCTGCCCAACCCCACATCTCGAGGTCAGTCCCAGAAAGCTCCCTAAAGCCGCTGTTGAGGAGCGTAGGCTTGAGACCCCTGAGGGAAGGAAAACAGAAATCCTCAGCACCACGGCAGCGAACGCCTGACCCCGTACCTGTTCCTCCGGCTCGTCACCACTCTGTCCACCCCCAAGAAGTACGCAGAGCGCAGCAGCGCCCCCAGGTTCATGGGGTCCTGGATCTGCTCCAGCACCAGCCACAGCAGCCGTCGGTTCGGGCTCTCTCCATCCCCCACACCGGGCTCTTCGGCCTCCTCCAGCCTCTTGAAGCGGAGCGGGGTGGCCTCCAAGCACACTCCCTGATGGACGCGGCCCCCGCACAGCGCATCCAGCTCCCTCCTGCCGACGCGGAACACGGGAACCCCGCGTGCCGCGGCCTGCAGCACGAACTCGCTGCTGACCACGCGCTGAGGGCCGCCGCTCCGCTTGAGGAACAGCCTGAACAGATCCCTCCTGGCCTGGGACAGGGCCATGGAGCACGGCGCTACGCCGAACAGGATCTCGCTGCCCCTCGTCCTCTCGATGGGCAGAGCCCTTCCCTCCGGCCTCCTCCTGCCCTTCGAGGCCTCGCGTCCCGCCGAGCCCCAGCCCTCCCGCAGACCCGCACTGGAGATACGGGCTCGGTCCCCGCCTCGCGCCGCAGCCGTGCAGAACCGCCAGGGCTGCCGGAGCCGCGCGGGGCCCTTCCCAAAGCAGCGGCTGCGGGCGGCGGACGGCAGCCCTACGGCCCTGCGGGCGAGAGACCTGAGCGCCTGCTCCATAGCTCCCACACGGGGAAGAGTCCCCCGGTACCGCGCGGGGAAGGGGGAAGGAGGAGGGGATGGAGAAACACACGCCGGCTCCAACCCGGGCGCGGCACGGCCGCACACGTGGGCGCGGCGCGGATCCCGGTGGGGGCGCTGCGGTCACGCGCGACCCCGCCCTGTCCTCTCCTACCGCTGCTTCCGGCCGGCCAGAGGGGCACCTTGCGCCACAGCGCCCCCTGGCGGCCGGCGGGGCGCAGCCTCACGGCCCCGTTCCACATTAAACCCTTAATTAAACAGGAAAGTGCCTCACGAGAGCTGGAAATACGCGTTTTGAGGGCAAAACGCTGCTCTGTATTCTACCCAGACACAGTAATCACAACGTGCTTCCCCTGGCATTGCGGGAAGAGGTTCCAGAGTGGATGGGATGAGCCGCACGTTGTCTCACTCCAGCTCACGGCCACCCAAAACTTCAAACCCAAACGCTGCTCCAGTGGCAGAGCACTTCATATCCATCTTCCACTTTCATAAGGGAGGAGATGGCAATTGTTCCCCGACAATCTCTTCTAAAAGGATTTTGCAGAGAGAAGCGTTTCAGTCTTCTACTCGGAAGCACCAACAGCCTTCAAAAACATCAAACTGTTTATACAGATGGAGATTTCTTGAGTAAAATGATCTCATCCTGCTGCTGCCATGGTTCCTCCCACCCAAATGAGAGCCGAGATCTGCCAGCAGCACTCACACACTGCCACATCACATCTAGAGGTGCAGCAACGTTAACACAGCTGATGACATTTATTACATAGGAAAAACGAGGAAAGCACAAGATTAGAAAAAACAAACATGCTTTTAATTCCACAAATGCTCTCTACCTATTTACAAGGCATCCGAAACACCTGCCTCAAATCCAGCAAGGCAGCCAAGTCAGCTACTCACTACTTATTTGCAAAAACATCGTGTTTTAATGACAGCAAACCTGAACCTCTGCACTTGGACAACCTGAAAGAGGACCGGAAAGTAAAAATCCTTCATTTAACAACAGCAATAATCCACCCCACTTCAAACAAGTGTGGGAGATTGAAAGAGTTCAATTTCCAAGTCTGCACAGCAGTACTGGCTCATCCCTTGCATAGTTTTAGCCAAACCCAGCAGCCTACCTGGGGATTTCAGCAAATCCCTGTGGAGCGCGGCTTCATTTGAACAGGGAAGGGCGAGTCCAATCTCCACAGGTCATCCATGGGACAAACTGGATGCTATTCTGCTCTAGAAAGCAATTGCAATTTTTTTCCCCCGTGAGGAACCAAATTCACATGTTTCTGTTTGAACTCTTCACAAAAGATAGGTTTGGCTGTGAACAGTAAAAAGGATGTTATGTTTAAACACAAACTACTATATGCAACAAAAGCACTACGCTGTGCCTCTCTTTTTATTCTTTATTTCCTAGTTTACAGTTAGAAGCCCACTGATAAATTGCACAGGTCGCTCTCCCGTCTGGGGTTTCTGAACGCCTTGGGGTCACGTTGCCAATCTCATCCCAACCCAGGAAGAAGGCTCGAGGTGCCACCAGGTCACACGAGGCAGAGAGGCTGAGCACCCAGTGCCAAACCCCTCTGTGGGCTGCACTTCACGTGGGAAAGCAGCCAGAGGCAGGAAGTCATCTGGCAGAAAGAATCATCCCCCAAAATCTCATTTGAAATGGAAAAAAATAATAGATACCATTTCAAGGACGAGATGTTTTAAAGATGTGCAAATGTTACAAACACTCATGGAGAAAAAACACTTCCAGGGCTGCAGGTCAGCCAAGTTGCATCTGCAAGGAGTGACTGTCCTCGCTGGCCCCTTTTCAAGGCCTTACATCTGCAGAGCAGAAAGATAAGCCAGGTCCTGTCTGAGCCATTCATTTCAACAGCTGTTGTATTTCGCACACAGTTACAGGCACCAATTCAGCCATTTCAACAGTGCTTCCCACAGCCTTCCCTGGTTTTGCTAATTTCTCAACTCTTTCTTTTTTGACCCTCAACTTCTAGTTCAGCTGTCTTTTCTTTTTAAGAAACAGTGCGCACTGCACCTGTTGGGTTTAAACAAGCTCTTGTGGAAGAAAACCTATGGAAAACACTCAGAGTTTTCATACTAAGTATAGCTGAACAACACAGTTTGGGGTTGGACCTTCCTTGGCAAAAGGCCTCTGGATTCTGCCCCACAGCACCATAGAAGCTGATAGCTTTTCCAGCTAGCTCAGGCTTTCTCCACTGCATTGAGCATCACTGGCTGCGTGCAGACCTGGACTGGCTGCTCCTTGCAGGACAGTCTAACTCAGTGCTGCAAGTGAAAGTCAGCTCTGTACCAAGAACCTACACAGAGCCACTGCCTCAGCTAAGCGGAGGAGGGCAGTGCATCAGAGCAGTGCAAGGCTTTGCCACAGGGCATGAATTTCACTCAGAGTAAATTAAAAGGCCAAATCCAGACACAAGGTTACATGTACTTACTAGCAGAAACTGGTGACAGATGAGGGACAGAACACACCATGAGAGGGTATTTATAAAGATGAAAAGAACAGGGCCAAGCAGCCTTTAAGTAGCCTTTGTTTTTACCATTACGAAGGAATGCTTTACCACTTTCCCCCTTATAGCCTTCCACGCTTGCTCACCTTTGGCACAAGGAATTCTATGTATCGTGAGATTTAATTAATAATAATACTTCATATCAACACTCAGCACTTACATAGCGCTTCTCATATTCAAAGTGCTTTACAAAACAGCTTGCGAGTCCTCACAACACCCCTGTGAGGTAGGTAAGTATTATTATCCCCATTTTACAGATGGGTCAACTGAGACAGAGAGGTAAAGCAACTTGCCCAAGGTTAAAGAGGGAGCTGAAATTCATGACATAGTGGTCCGGTTCTGGTCTCCCTTATGGTGGTGTAACACAGATGAACTCCCATAGAGCTACACTGGCATAAGCAAAACAATCCAAACCAAGTTTCTCTGGTTCTCAGTCCTCTACTCAAATCAACTGATCGTACCTGCTCCACCTCCAACAAGGTGTTCACCTGCTGAAGTGCTAAAGGAAATCCAAAGTACAGCAGGAGAGAGACTGCAATCTTAAGGCAACATTAATGTTAACAGCGCCAAATCACGTTGGGCTCCATGCAGATGTTTCTGCCACACTGCAAGAGTAAATAAAACAACTCAAGTCGTCTCCAGCTGTGCGTGTACCAGCCAGGGGGCTAAATTCCCCCTCCCTTGAGTTAGAGGAAACCCAGAGCAAAACAATGGGGCCACACCAGCATAGAACCAGTAGATCCAAAGCAGACCTTTCACCTACTGCTTTGTGGGCAAATGCCCCTATTAATATCTTTTCATTTTGGACAGCTTCAGCATGGTTCGTTTCACTCTCTCTCTCTCCGAGTTTGTATCTCTGCATATAAACAAAATTCCAATATTTCCAACTTAAGAGTGATCAGCATTTAAACAGCATCATACATCTTTCAAAGACCGATCAATACTTCCGAAAATCATCAATGCATGCAAATATCAAACGTACAGAAAACCAACAGGAGTGCTGGGAGATGATACCAAGGATAAAGGTGGTCACAAGACAGCACATTTAATTTTTATTAAAAATACCAAACAACTCACTCTTACTGTACCTATGCCACTTAGATCATTCTAACCTGCAAAAAATACAGGTTCTTTTCCCAAAACTATTTACCTACTTACCTAGAAAGAAAGAAACAGCAAGCACACACATTTATACCTCCTCAAACTTGGCAGGCACAATTCATATGAATGCAAAAGAAGGGTTTGGGGAGGCAGGGTGAGTTTGTACATCGGCTTTAGGGCAGCAGGATATGAGAGAAGAAAATATCACATCCATCGTTACCAAATAAGCATCAAAATGATGAGAAGAAACGTAAAAATTAAATGGATGACATCCACCAGAAATCTCAAACCCTAAGCACATGGAAGCTGGCAAACACCTTGTGCCACTTCACCTACGTCCAGACATCAAATAAGATCAAACCAACCTTGAAAAGAAAGCAAAAGGAAGAATAAACCAGTCTGGAGACAATCTTCCACAAACCACTTCCCTGCATTATTTTCAAATACATTTTACTCTTACTCAGTTTCTGAAAGGAGTAGGGGATAAAGAGACCCACTACTATATATGTATTTTTTAAAACTGGCTCCATACCAGCACCAGCTGAGAGAGAGGGAGAGAAAAATAATTCTTCAAACACGATCCTTGGTACTTGAATAAAACGTTGCTAGCCAGCTGATGAAACCCCACATTGCCAGAGGGTTCCAAGTGGAGTGGATACACGGTGCTGCTCACGGTCTTCTTCATTTGCTATGATATCTGTTCCGTGGGCCTCATCTGTATATCTCCGATCTAGAAGAGACCAGCACATGATTTTGCTGCAGCACTGACATATTTTAAACCTTGCACTGTGTACTCGCATGCTGTACTGTTACCGTGGTAAGCTGCACACAAAGGAAGTTCCTGCAACTAAAAATAAGGCTGTTTAGCTGAGATACTAAAGAGAAATAAATGTGAATGCAACTTTTTTGCCTATAGCAGAAAGGAAAAAAGAGCAAAAATGCACAGAAAAGAGTATGAGATGACACTGAACTATAAAAGTTTACAATCAAGTCTTGAGCATGGTCCTGCTCAGAGGATGAAACAGAGGCACTGCTTTTACCTCTCCACATCAGCCCCCAGGAGGACCTTTTATGCTCTTAAGGCAAGAAGGCCAGCTTCTCTAGAGACAGAACCCTTCAGCTTCTGTGCTTCTAGACTGATCTAATGTCAAAATGGTTGCACCTTGCTCCAAAGGAGCAGAGATCATACTATGGGTTTGCTAAGCATCTTGTGATCAAAGTTTGCTTTTGCAACAGCAACTCAGTCAACATCCTAAACTTTGACACCATTCTTTCCTCCTCCTGGTTCCAGCTCAAAGCTGGTCACTTATTTCTTGTTTCCCAGGAAAGAAGTCCCTCTGGCAGCAGAAGCACCTTGGCAGGATCCAGCCCAACACATCTGGCAACTGGCAGAACCTGAACCAGCTGTAAGACAGCCAGCAAATCTCAGATGGCACTGTCCAGAAGGGATGAGACGTGCCTGTATCCCTCCCACTCCCCCTGCTTTGCACAATCCTTCTCTGCAGTCAGAGCAATCCTGGATGGATACATGGGTGTGGGTGGCCTGAGCAGCGCGGTCCCAAAGCTGCCATAAGGGAACTGTAAACAAATGTGATCACTACTAATCCCCAGTTCCACTAAGCACACAGCTGACATGGCAGCTGCAATACTGATTAGCAAATACTCTTTCCTCCTTTAAATACCTGTAGCAGAGTCCTTTAACTCAACCACAGCTTACCTGTACATGAGGTGGGGCACTGAGGACATATATGACAGCATTAGCCATATCTTCAGCTTTGAGACACTGGGAAGACAGAAAACAGGATCTTAGACAAAGAACACTGTTAAGAAAAATTAACCATAAAATCCCTTCATAACCATCAATAACAAGTTTCAACAGTGTCACTGGGGCATATCAAAAAAGATGGAAGCAAGCAGGAAAAAAGTAATCCATTAAAAAATTAATAAAGGAAGTGTCTGGTGCTGATCTTTCTGTTTGATGTGAATAATCTTTCTGCAAAATGCTTCGAGGTGTCTGTGAGAACTAAAATCCTCAAATGCTGGGCAGAAAAACATACGGAGACATCGCCTCTCTAAAGAGCTGAGAAGATGCATCTGCACATATGTGTCACATACATGTGACATGTGTCTCTGGACAATCAGAGAAAGGGCTGGTGTGCTAAGACAAAGAGCAAACGAGCAGCTGCTCAGCAGAAAGGAGGGCATTATGGGGATGGGTAAAAGAGCTGCACTGGCTTACAGTGTGGCAAAGCAACTCGCCAAACTATTGGCACAGTAGCTCTGCCAGCTCAAGCACTGCCATCCTTACAAAAGAAATTTCCAGAGAAGAGCAAGAAATCCTATGCCAGCTGCTTGCTCCACACACTTCTTACCCATCCTTGTGTAGACATGCTTGCTTATTGTATTTTCTCTTTATTAAAGAAGTCACAGCCTGCAAAATTTCAAAGCTGACTGACAATTTATTTACAGGTACATCAAAGTAAGAAAAAATATAAAAAATGAGAAACTAAACCTGAATGAGACTTTGCACAATGTTTAAATACGAGTGCAATATCTGAGGTCTGAGTGCCAAGACTTGACTTGGAGGATGCTGACTATTCTGGAAAGCATTATGATACGCTCCACAGAAATAGCTTCTTGTGCAATTAGCCAGGGGACAGATTGTTAAACTACAATCAGAGCCACTTCTCTCTGTTCCCATATCTCCATGTCCTACCCGAATGCTCTCATAGGTTGCAGCAGCTCTCTCAGGGTCATTATCATGAAGCTTAAAAGCAAATCCCGTTTCTACCAGTCCTGGAGATATACACTGGAAAAGAACAGAGCACATCCTAATAGGATTTGTAATTCTCCTCCAGTAAAAGAAAAACCAAAAACAAACTAAAAAGAACGAAAGCAAAAACCCCAGACCTCTGCCCCACAAAACTTACCAGCACTCTGCCACCCACAAAGCCAGCAGAGAGGGAGAACCCCTACAGTACTCACTGTAGCTCGTATATGAGTCTTTGCTTCTCTGAGTTCTTGCCTCAGCCCCTCTGTGAGTGCTGTGACAGCATACTTGGTGGCACTGTAAAAATGCACCACCGACTGTGGCACAACGCTGTGACCATTCATGCTGAGGAGAGAGCAGAAAGGAGAGTGCTTGAGAAAGAGTCTTGAGTCTTGAGAAAGAACCAACAGCATATTTGGTCTTTGTTGTATTTAGACAAGCAGAGGATCAAAAAAAAAGTTTGGAAAATCAGCCATCATGATCCTAAGAAACCCCTCACACCCCTGGGTGACCATCAGCCCACCCAGAAAGGTGAAAGCTCCTCTGCTCTAATCCCA